CATTCGGGATGAAGATATCGACGGTGAGGGCTCGGAACGATTTTCCAGACAGCTGATGTGCTCGGGCGTCCAGCGCTTTCCAGATGGACATGTCGAAGGGAGCGCGAAGGTTATCAATATCGGCGCCGTTGCAGGAGAATGCTAGTTCCTCGAGACGAGGAAGTGTTGCGATCTTGTTGGAATGAAGTAGGGAGACGACGCTGAGAAGCGCGTTCTTGGACATTGCGAACAGGGACCGCAGCTCGAGCTGGATGCTGACGGTGCGGAGATGTGGGAGGGGAGATTGATGGATACGAGTAAACTCGTTGTCATCACCTAAATGGGAGGGATACCGTGCGATGGTAGCATGGGGTAGCGGAGGGGACACGAAACACTGACCTTTATTGTCAACGCATGTTCCGCGGAGAAGTCCGTCGAATACAACCTGCATGATCTCGGGTTCAACATCAAAATGAAGAGATTCAAGTTGGGATAGCTTGTGAGTGGATGGCCAGGGTAGGGAGGGGAGGATCCCTCGTAAGTAGGGAAAGGCCCAAGGTAATGTAAAGAGCTGAGCCGGAGGTGCTTCAAACCACCAAACTCTGTGATTGTCGTGATGGGGAAGTCGCTGATTCCCTTCAAGTGAAGGTAGATGAGTGAATCAGAGCGAAATGCTGATAACAACGCCTCCTGAACGCGGCGAGGGAGGTACTCCCAACTGGTGTGCTTCGCGTTGAAAGTGATTGCTTTGAGATTGGACAAGGAAGGTAAGATGGTTTGAAGCGAGTTATCGTGAGCTACCCACCCGGGCTTTTCATAATCAAAGTCGCGTGTACATCCGTTTGTAATCTTGAGCTCTCGCACGTATCCAGCGATGTGGGGTGCGGACGCAAGGAGCAGGCGAAAGCGGTAACCAGGCACAGGTTTATGCTTGACCCATTTCAGTTCGACCTGGGAGAATAAAAGTTGCTGGCTCATTGGAACGAGGTTTTTGCAGACAAGAGCGCATGCTAAAAGAGAAGGAGTGTCCCCGTGGAGGCAGGTGATGATAGAGTCGTGAATTTCTTGCGGAAATTGTGGGATCATGGCCTGTTCCGTAGAAGGGGTATAGGTATGTGTTAAAGTTTCGGAGGCGACCAATGATGCAACTTGGCCATAGCGGTGTGACTTAAATATCCAAGATCGGGCCTTGTTTTTGAATTGCGATTGTTGTCCAGCCAATTCGGCGATGTTCTAGCGTGTTCCGGTAGCTTCTAGGATGGTTTCCTTTGCAGAAGAACACAATTGCATCAATATGACGGTGAGTAGCCGTGACTACGAGTTGGGGCAAAAAATCGAAATCGTGATTTAAACGAACTGGGATCAAGAGACACAAGTTGACCGGTTGAGGAGCAGGATTTGTTGTAGATTTTTCAGTGTCAATAAATGACGTCGACATCCGCGAGCACCTAAATAACTGACATTTAAGAAGTCCGAAATTATTGAGCCGGAGGAGAACGAGTATTTGAACGTAGTGGTCTTCCAAGCATTTGGCCCTTGGGTGGTGCTGCCAAATACGGCCGGAGATATCCGGGTGACATGTTACGTCACGAATAATTTCTGTTCTGTTCCCTTCCTCCAGCAACACATCCTCTTCATGTCCTAGTACGCCATTTACTTGCTTCCTTCCTTATTTCTTTCATCTCATATCCTAACGCCCGACAGCACAATCTTCGGCCGCGCCATCAAGAACGAGTACCTCTCCATCGGGGTCCTGTCTACCGCGTTCGGAACGGCATGGCTCGCAACGAGGGGTGGGTCAGAGGCGGACAAGAAGCCTGCGACGGTGCAGCAGGCTAAGGAGAGCGTTAAGATTAATGCTGGGTCTTCGTATGTGTCTTTTCTTGAATATGTTATAGGCGAGAAATGGCTGATGCGGTGTGGGTGTGTTTGTAGGGAGGAAGAACAATTGTGCGTTTCTTGCTTTGGTTTACGGGAAGGAGAGAGGGGGCTGACGTTTTTTATTTTGTGTAGCATTCAAAAATTCATTGCGGAGGCGGAGAAGGAGGGTGCTTCGACAGCTGCTGCTCACTAAGTGGTTGGGACGTGGTTGGACTCGGAAAGACGTGGTTGTTGTGGGGGGTGACTAGAGTACACACATGCACGCTGTTTCGGACAGCGAGGAATAGATGTTAGAACGGAGCGTGAATTCAGTTCAATTCTCTTGGAAGTAGTTGTGGTTGTTATGCGACACCTAGACCTGAATTTCATCATGTTCGTGTACATGCCCATCATCTGAGCCATGAGCAAGCCCACATCCACAACGGCCCCCTCGTCATACTACTCCGCTCTTTCAAGCTCATCGACGACGACCAAGTCTAAACGACATTCTCTAGCCATACTACCACCCGCCTCACCCGGTCCACGACCACTCCACCTCCTAGATGGAACAATCACCTCTTCATCCACATCCGCGTCCTCACCCTTGCACTCACCAAGCACATCCTCAAAAGCATCCAGGAGACAAAGCTCAATATCGTATTACCCCCCTGACCGGACCCCGGACTATTACACGTCAAGCTCAATAACTTTAAGCAATGCGGGACGCTCGCCTCTAAGTGCGCGTGGTACGCAGCATGCTGGAGCTGGATTGTCTAGGAGCAGTTCGGTGGGGAGGGGGAGCCCGGGTTTGAAGGGGAGACATGGGGAAATTCAGAGGATGAGTTTGCCGTTGGAGAAGGAGAAGGAGAAAGAGAGGCCGCCGTTGACGTTGGCTGAAAAGTGAGTAGGTCTTTTCGTTTTTGTTCCTTGTTCTCGCTTTTTCTTTCTTGGTCGTATTTTTGGACGTGGATCAAGGACAGGCGTCAATGTTAATCGGCAGCGTTGAGCGCTCGTTCGCCTGATGGTGCCCCTGTCCGTTTTTCTCCTCTGCGAACGTATACCCGTTGGTTTTATCCCGTCAAGTCTTCGCGATGTTGAGGAGGGACCGCGCCATCGTTGGCCTTCCTCGTATGACGCGACATGCCACTCATGTACCATCAAACGACGGCCACCAGCCCCAACTCTCTTTCCTCCCCACATCGTCGTTTTGATACGATTTTCGTGGGCTCAAAGTCACGCTCTGCATGTCGAGATCCCTACTTTCTTCCCCGGACGTCCCAGGAGCAACTTGTACAGCGAACCAACCCGGGCTCGCTCTGCTTGTTCCCTATGCGCTTACCCTTCCCATGCTTCGGTTGGCATTGGCAGAACGCCCCGTTCTTTGACTTGATATTGTCTTACCAAGACGGGGCCAGTTGGGGCCCTCCAGCTGCGGGCTGTCATCCAAGAATTCATTGAGGACTCCGTACGTCCATTAACGTCATGGGGGTCTTCCACTTTACCCTACGCTTCAAGCTTCGGTTTCCTCATAGGGTCTTTTGTTGCATCTCTCTCTTTTTTGCATTTTGCTTGTTGATCTCATTCTTGACCCCCTAACTAACACTTACTCTACAGACACGCAGAACTCCTGCACTTTATTGCTCAAAAAGAGTCCAAATGCCTCGAATTACGATCTCAGCTGGCTGTTCACGAGGAGGAGTTGTTGCAGTGTACGTCTCAATCTTCTTTTTCCCCCAATGTCAATCGCTCACCTTGATACGTGCCTAGTAAAACGTAAATGGGAACGCATCGTAAACCGCGGCTTCGAAAAGTCGCAATCACCTCCAGACGCAGTATCAAGGGCACCCCCAAATACTATCACCAACCCTGCCTCCACCGTCGTAGCCGGCCTCACGGGCCCTGCAGTCCTAGAAGGCATTAAAGAAGGCATGCACCGATTCTTGGCTGCTGGTTTGTCTATCAGCGATCCGAACTCGACTCCCAGCTCCCCATCCCCATTATCTGCTTCTCCTCTGCCCCTTTCGGGCCAACGGAGTTCGCCACTATTGGCGGAACGAAGCTCACCACTATCCGGAGGGCCAACGACGCCAAGATGGCGGACTCATGCGAGGGAGAAGGAGAGTCTTTCTTCAGTGTCGACGCATGCTACTGCTACCAGTGCGACGACGCGGTATTCGCAGTGCTCGAGCTCAACGGCTGCGTCGTCTTTAGGCGGCAAGGAGTTGGGAGGTGATGATGTTGAGGATGGCCAAGAACCGCTTGGGGAAAGTGACAACTTTTGTGCGGCCCCAGAGTTGATGGTCCACGATACAGGTGCGACTCCGACCATGAGTCCGAACCCTGCTTTCAAGCGCAAAGAACGGCAACAGGGTGCGATAGATCCGCAGCAGCCCGTTCCAGGAGAGCCTCAACCGCAATCAGAGCCTGACGACGACGACGACGAGTTCGACGAAGCAACTTTCACGTCTAGCTTGGACTTAACCCCAAGTGGGGGAGCCAAAGTCCGCCGGCGAAAATCGAAAGATGTTGTTCCTCTGCATTGGAGCAGTGGGTTGTCGGCCATCGAGCCTGGATTGACGGCCAACACCGCTACTGCGAGTTCAGTAGGGAGCTCAAGGGTACCGTCACCGCTCCCTGAGCTTGAGGGTACTGCGAAGATTGAGGGTGGTACTAGCGGCAGGGAGAAGACGAATGGGAATACTATGCGGGCGACCCTCAACACGAACGGACATGGGTATGCGGCACAGTCCGATGGCAGGTTTGGGGGTGGTGTGTATGGGATGGGTTCGCTTCCCCCGCCTTCGTCTATCCCTGGCCTAGGCGTCTTGACGGGTGGAGGTGCAACGTGGATGGGTAGTGTGGGTAAGAAGTTGGGGGAGTTAAGGGATAGTCCTGCGTACGTCTATCTCTCTGCTTTCTCCATTGGACCCTTTTCTTGGGCGAGCCGGCTTTTCGATCACAAAATGGTCCCAGATCTCGGTTCCGCCCCGTCCTTTTGTCTTCCCTGGTTCCTTACTGTGATGCTGATGTCGTCTCTTTCTGTATACAGCTTCACCAAAAGTCAAAAACGAGCATCCGTGCTACTATCGGACGTCTCACAAAGCATCGTCTCTGCATGGAATGCTCCCACCACACCAATCGGGTCAGCTCCACCAATCTCACGTACACGGAGCACGCCTCTACCTACCTCGCCTTTATCACCCTCCCTTCTTGACGACGACAACGACGATACTATACGCATCGCAAGCGTTATGACCCCTGATTCCAAGAAACTGCACACGACGACTTTGATGCCCTCCTGGCCGGACGGGGGCATGAAACCTTCAAATAAACCGACAACGACATCCTCCAATGCAAAGACTCAAGATGAAGACGAGGAATGGAATTGGTAGAGCCCCTCCCTTATTCAAGCCCTCTTGCTCTTCCTTTCCTCTTTACTGTCATCTGTGAGCCTTTTGAGTAAAATTGATTATGTTCTTCTATCCCAACCTTCAAGTTGAAAACACCTCAATTTCTCGCCTCTGGCGTAGTTTTCTTTGGCCTTGCTCGTTTTCCCAATCTGAGTTTGCATGAATATGTTCTCACACCTCCCCCTCTTCTAGGGAATATTTTTGGATTGGACGGTAGTGTTTAAGAACACCGTGATTGAGATTTCAAGGTTCAACATTTCATTACTTTCAATTGGCTCCTATAATTGCGGTCAACAAGCCATTCCACTTCTTGCTTTCTTTCTGTGCTGTTGATATCAATTGTTGAAGATTCTTCTTGTGTCATGCACGTGGAATCAATGCTGGACGGGATGTGGTTGCTGTTGCCTGGCCATGGTGCCATGTCTGGAACCAATTTCAGAAAGAATCAAAAATCAAAAACACTAAATCATGTTGTTTAAAAGAGTGGCTTAGCTCAGTGGAAATGTAAGATTACTGAGGGCTGCACTTTTTTATTATAGAAATATATTTGTTCTGATTTCTTCTTACTCTCTTATTTACATGTTTATGCACCAAAAATCTTACACTACCATGTAGGAGTTTATAAACACCAGAAAGTATGCATATAACCAAAACCAATAATGTTACGGTTATTAAGCATAATGGGCAGTTATGTTAAGCTTTCGAGCAATACTTATCACTCCCCCACCTATTCCTACTGGATTCCTACTGGACTTCAACAAAATTTCCAAAGGGGCATTTTCACATTCCTTTCCTACTGGACTCCTGCTGGACTCCCACTGGACTCCAACTGGACTCCAACTGAACTTGAACAAACTAGATGAAATGCTCCAGACATTGGATTCCTACTGGATTCCCACTGGAATATCAACTTCAATGTATTACCAAGTCAGAACTTCAAATTTCTATTCAAAATTCACATTTAAACAAATGTTGTATTGTGAAATGACAACTAAATACAGAAAGATATTTTACTAATGTAATGAGGGAGAGGGAGGGAGTGGTGGAGTGATGGTGGGAGTGGTGGAGTGATGGAGGGAGTGGTGGAGGGAGTGGTGGAGGGAGAGAGCTATGGAAGGAGGGGAAGTGAGTGAAGTGAAATGATGGAGGGGGGAGGGGGTGAGAGAGGTGGAGAGAGGAAGAGAGGGAGGGAGGGAGGAAGAGAGGGAGGAAGAGAGGGAGGGAGGGAGGGAGAGAGAGAAGGATGGAGGGAGAGAGAGAGGGAGGGAGAGAGGGAGGGAGGGAGAGAGGGAGTTGTTGTTTCGTGGGTGCCATGTCATTTGCACACATAGGCGGGGTGTTTTTCGAGGGCGGTGGTCATCATTTGCATGGGTGGCGGATGTCGTTTGTGGGCGCTGGGTGTTTTTCGTGGGCGGCGGTCGTCGTTTGGGTGTGCTGGGTGTTTTTCGTGGGCGGCGGGCATCGTTTGTGGTGGTGGGTGTTATGGTCGTCGTTGGCAGGTGGGAGGGGGTCATCACTGTCCCTCGTCTTTCTTGTTTGTCATGTCGGTGGGCGCTCGTGGTTCGTGGGTGGTTGTCATGTCCGTGGGTGGGGTCGTTGTTGTGTGCCGTGGTTGTTTGTTGTTGTTGTCTGTCATGGCCCATTGTTGTTGTTGTTGCGTGTTGTTGTTGTCCATTGTGGTCGTGGTGGTCACTATTGACAAGGCAATGGTGGTGACAAGGCGATGTGTTCGTGGTGGGTGAGCAAGAGGGTGGTGATGGTGGTGTTGTTGAGTGTTGTTGGGTTTGGGCAAAATTCCCACTCGCGGAATTCACCAACGTCCTTTCTAGGAAGGAGGTCAGTATGTTGGTACAGTTGAGTGCAAAAAGAATGAAGGTTGGTTCATTTTTCTGGTTCTTTCTAAGAATCTATTGTACCTCAAATGTATTTGTGTATTCTTTTACATTATGTAGTTGTGTTACACTTCCCTTGGTATGGACTAATTTCAGTGAAAGCTGGAGCCTTGAGAAGGTTTTTATTCTGGAGGCCATTTTTGGCATCTGAAAAAAAAAATAATCTGCTAACTGGGGAGGTAGCCAGAACATACCTCTGGTCAACCTGAATGAGCCTATCAAAGAATTAGTTAAAAATACTGAGCAGTTATGCTTGTAGAGCCTCCAGAAAATGGTCATTTTGTGCTATTTTGGTTATTTTTGGCCTGTTTTAGGCAAAACAAGCCATTTTACAAAGCCTCTACAGACCTAACCACTCAGTATTTTTGACTGATTCTTTGATAGGCTCATTCAGGTTGACCAGAGGTAAGTTCTGGCTACCTCCCCAGTTAGCACATATCTTTTTTTTCAGATGCCAAAAATGGCCTCCAGAATAAAAACCTTCTCAAGGCTCCAGTTTTCACTGAAATTAGTCCATACCAAGGGAAGTGTAACACAACTACATAATGTAAAAGAATACACAAATACATTTGAGGTACAATAGATTCTTAGAAAGAACCAGAAAAATGAACCAACCTTCATTCTTTTTGCACTCAACTGTATATAGAGTATATAATACTTACCTGTCATAATGCTGTCGTGGTGCAAGTGGTAAAGTGCTTTGTATGCACTATTTGCCACTCTGTTTGTAAGGTTGAGAGTTCAATTCTGTCAGGTTGCGCTTTTTTTAATATTATATAATAACAACAACAGTGACAAACTGCTGGTCCTACTGGGCTCCCTGTCCCTGGAAATTCCTACTGGACTCATTCCTTAAAAATCCAGCAGAATTCCACAATTCCTGGTGATTTGGGATCATTCCAGTAGGAGTTTACTAGGACTCCACTAGGACTAGGGTACAAAATTTGTATGGTGATCAGCCGGCATGAAATTTGTCCCAGTCCTAGTCCAGTCCAGTAGGATTCCGGGAATCCAGTAGGAGTCTGGTAGGAATAGGTGGGGGAGAGTAAAGAGCTCAGTCATAGCCTCGTTTTGTCTTTGGTAATCCTGATATAAAATCTTGTGATATCATCTGAAACGGTCGTGTTCCTGTTGATTTAATTTGTTGCATCGGTGGTTGTGTTGGATGTGTGTTAATTTTGTTCTGTTGACACATGGCGCATCCTGCAACATATTCATATATGAAGTGGCGTAATCTTGGCCACCAGTAATGTCTTTGTACCATTTCTAATGTGCTGTCTCTTCCAGGGTGTCCGGTCATTGGCGAATTGTGGAACTCTTGTACAATGAGTTTCCGTATTCCATTACTATCAGGAATGTAGCATCAGTCTTGATAGAAAAGTTTTCCATCTTCTATTTTCCAATTGGAAAGGCTTGATTTAATCGGTGGGATTCCCTTTGTAGAAAGAACATTTGATATGTTCTTTACTAATTCGTCTGAGGCTGTTGTTAACTTGATCATCTTTGCAAGTTCGACATTAATAAGATTAATGAATATCTTGTCTGGGAGTAAGACAAGGTTTTCATTATCGTCATTGTTATCAGGGACATGATCTGGTTGTCTGGATAGGGCATCTGATTGGATCATTCTTGATCCAGGAACGTGAATGAGTTGAAGATTAAACCTTGATAGGTATAAACTCCATCTAGCTTGTTGGCAGTTAAGTTTCTGCATCTTTCAGAAGTATGTCAGATTCTTGTGATCTGAGAATACTGTTACGGGGTGTGGACTTTCTTCTAAGAAGTGTCTCCATGTTTCTAGGGCTCATATGATGCCTAGAAGTTCTCTGTCATATATGTTGTAGTTCCTTTCTGTCTGAGTAAAACTGTGAGAAATGTAACTGCATGGTTTCAAATCTCCGTTCGTATCTCTTTGTCGGAGAACGGCTCCTGTAGCCCATTTGGATGCATCTGATTCAACATAAAATGGTTTTGTTGGATCAGGGATGATTAGAATGGGTTTTTCTAGAAACTTCTTCTTTAAGTTATCGAAGGCCGTCTGACATTCTTGTGACCATTTGAAAACTTTCATTTTCTTAGTAAGTTCGTTCAGGGGTTTGGCGGTTTCTGCATAGTTGCCAATAAATCTTCGGTAGAAGTTGCCAAATCCTAAAAATGATCTGATGCCTTTTACATTCTTTGGTGGAATCCAATCCTGAATTCCAGCTAGTTTTGTTGGGTCCATGGGGATTTCATTTGGCCTTATGATGAAACCTAGGTATTCAACTTCTTTGGCATTGAAAACGCACTTCTCTGGTTTAAGGAACAAATCCTTTTCTTCTAGTCTTGTTAGAACTTTCTCGGTTCGTCCATGTTGATGTTTGGGGTCTTTGGAGAATATGAGAATATCGTCAAGATAGATCAAAACCCATCCTTGGGTGATCATATCAGCGAAATAGTCATTCATCATGGCTTGGAATGTCGCGGGCGAATTGGTCATTCCAAAGAACATTACTGTCAGTTCGAATAGTCCTCTTTTAGTGATGAAGGCACCTTTCCATTCATCACCCTGTTTAATTTGGACATTGTTATATCCCCATTGGATATCTAACTTTGTAAAGACTGTGGCTCCTTGGAGTTTGTTTAGGAGATCGTCGATAGATGGAAGGGGATATGTGTTCTTGACTGTGTAACTGTTCAGATAATGATAATCTTGACAGGGTCTCAGTGCTTTGCTGTCTTTCTTTGATACGAAAAAGAAGGGTGAAGCCTGAGGTGAATTTGATGGTTTGATAAAACCTTTCTCATCGATAAACTTGTTCATTTCTTCTTCTTCTTTTTGTCCTAATGGGTAGAGTTTCGATCTCTTTGGTACAAAGTCCGGTTTGAGATCGATTCTATGATCCCATGGTCTCGATTCGGGAAAGCGCTCTGATGCTTTCTTTTCGAATACTGATCTGAATCAGTGGTATTCTTTCGGGACTAGATCCTCAAAAGTCTTTTCTTCTTTCGTTTCTTCCTTATGTGCAAGACTCTGTGATATAGATGTCTTGGCTCTAATTGCTAGATCTGAATCAATCTGAATGGGTTGATTCAGGGGTTCTTCTTTCTCTGGTTTGAATGTCGTTATAGTTTCTTCTTGGAGATATGCGGTGACAAGATCTCCTTCTGATTCATCTTCTTCATCATCTTCTGTGTTGGGTACTAGGGCTGGCATGTCTTCATATTGATTGGGAAGTTCATTCACAGTTATGAGAATGGCTTCTTCGTTATCTGCTAATCTTTCAAACTTCGGGGTTGCGTCTTCATCAGGTATCTCTTCAATAAAGACTGTTGATCTCTTCTTTTTGTTTCTTCTGTCAGGGATTTTTCGCAGCTGATCTGCGAAAGCTTCTTTTGACTTCATCTTCTTGCGTTCTGATTCTATCTTTAGAATCTGGATTTCTCGATCTATGGCTTGTCGTATGTTCGGTTTCTTTATCCTGTCTGGGATAATCTTGATGGTCTTTTTTGTCCAGTTTACTTCGGGGTTAATTCTGTCTAACCATGGCAATCCAAGGATTACATTTTCTTTTCCTAGGTTGGAAATCAAGAATCAAGTGGAATTTACTTTTCCATTGATTTTTGCAGGAGTCGGGTATAGAACCTAATGGGTCCATTCTTGTTTGGGCTTTCGTCTACGTTTGAGACTTGGATTTCCTTATCCAATCTCAAGAGCGGGAGTCTGTGTTCTTTCGCAAATCGTTCATCCATAAAAATTCCTTGAGCACCACTGTCGATAAACACTTTTGTTTCGACGGTTTTCTTTCCATTAATAATTCTTGTGTTAACGCACATTGAATTCAAGTCGTTGTTAGGTACACTTCGAATTCTAAGAGCTTTAATGGAAATTTGTTTAGAAGGTCTAGACGTCGTTGCTAGCCTTCTCACTGAAAACCCTTGTTTTCATCTTCATCGTCTGATTCTTCTTCGGCTGGTTCGTTTGGATCTTTATCCAAAGATTCTATAAAAGCAACTTTTGCTTCTTCTAATTCTTTGTCATCGAGTCCTGCCATGATAGCACAGACTTTCTGTGCGGTGTTTTTGTTTGGCAGTGGCATGATAGCCTTATAGGGAGTGGCGGGTTTTCTAGAATTGGATGTACTTCCTTTTCCAGTGTTAAGGGTGGGGTTGGTCGCATGGTCGTGAGACACATGCCCTGTTTGTCCGCATTGGAAACATTTCCCTTTCTTCATGTATTCGTTTTGTTCTTTGATGGTTAATCTGTTGATATCCATGGCGTCTGGATCTCGAGGTCTGGGGGTATAGGATGAATGAGGGAGTTGGCGAGGAGGTCTTTACCTTCCCCAGGTTAATCCATATGGAATCCATGTGGAATCCATGGAATCCATCACCAATTCCATGTGGAATCCATGGAATGAATCTTGGCTGAGACCACAGCCAATTTGTTGTTCCATGGACATCATGGATTCCACCTGGATTCCACTGAATTCCATATGGAACTTAGGCATATCCACCATGGATTCCATGGAACAAGTTCATATGGATTCCATGGAACAAGTCCATATGGATTCCATGGAGCAGTTCATATGGATTCCATGGAAGGAATTAATGACCATTATACCATTAGAATACATATAGATATAGTATTTATAGTGTCCTTACTATATTTAAGTAAAAATAAAATTTTTGCATCTGAGAGAATTGAACCCACAACATTGTGAATAGAAGCAGCAATCTAACCACCTGAGCCACACCAGCTTTGTTACAAGGTAAACTAAAGGTCTCTATATAGTGTCGTTTGTCATGTGGCGTCTCAAACGTGACAGTTATGGCTGCCGCGTTGCCACGTTGCTTCTTTCTTTCACCACCACCACCACCATTCACCCCACCGTCTCAGGCCACGACCACCCGCGACAACGACGTCGACAACGCCGACAACGACGACAACGACGCTGGCGACGACACCAACAACAACGACCACAGATGGGTGGGAACAACGGCGAGCGGAAAGCCCAGGTAAGCCAGCGGCGTGGCAACCAGATGACAGACGACGACATTCGTCGTCGTCCGTCATTTCATTCCACCCGCGAACAAATGACCCCACCCATTGAGCTGACCCAAACCACAGGTGCCACGTGGTGACGTGGCAGATCCACCACCACACCACGCCGACGTCAACGACACCCATGACCAAGGACGACCGCCCACGAAGACGACACGACCGCCCACACAGATGACACGAAGACGACGCGACGACACAAAGACAACCAGCCGAGGCTGTAGTTTATGACCAACTAAACCTGCATTCTTGCACTTCGCTTTTTTTTGTGTAGGGTGCATTTTTGTATGCGGCCCAAATGCCAAAAGTGTCTGCATCCTCTATTTACTGAAAGAATGCACGCGAAAATTTAAAAAAATGGCTTGCATTGCATTTCTACACCCCGAGAATAGGTTTCTGTGGGTAGATATGGTCTATTTTTAACTTCCTTTGTTGTGAGAGCTTCATATCCATCAATTATTTGTTTCCGCGCACGTCATTCATTCGATTCACCTATTTTTAGGTTCATCCGCTGCCGCATATGTATGTTTTCCACTCCCGGTATGTTTGTTTTTCAAAAAAAAAAAAAAGATATCTCTTGCTGCTTCATTGGTCCAGTCCTCCTTCTTTCTTTCGGCACTTATTTCATTAACTTCCTGGTACTCTTTCTTAGCGGAATGTTCACGCGTGCTGTGCTGTGTATCCCTATTGTATTCTTGCTTGGCACTTTTTTGTTTCCACAATCTGTCACTCGTTTACTGTTTGAAATGATAGTTACTTTATCAAATGTTCTCTATTCAGCCCTCATAGCTTTGTTTGTAATTCCTATGCGTGCTCTTTCCATTCGTGAACTTTGAAAGCGTTGGTTCGTGCATTCTGTTTGAAAATTGAAGTCACGTGCGTGTTGATTTTCGACTTCAAGTTCGCGAAAACTTCTCTGTGCGGCAAGAAAAATTATATACATTTATATACACGGATGTATCAAAAATTTCGTTTACATGAGACTTACCCCTGCTCCAAGAGACGCAAGAGGACCCAATGGACCTCGGTTACAGCTGCCAACCAACTCGCGAAGTTCTCTACAGGTTTACCGTTGATTGAGCCGCCCCACCAAGCGAGAGTTGACAGTATGGTCAGAAATCCGTTTTGCCCATGCTTGCGCAGCACATCCCAATCCTCTTGCACATCCCAATCCTCTTGCACATCCCAATCCTCTTGCACCTCCGTCAAACGATGATCACCTCCGAGAAGACCTTTGACGGCAGCAACCTGTTGAGACGGCGGCTGCAAACCCTTCCACCAGGACCACCAACACCTATCAAAGACATCTACGTCCTTGATTGTCGGCTCACGTTCGCGTCCACGGCCAATCCACCAAGAAACCTCATCCGGTCTATTTCCCTTCCGGAAACCAGCTGTGTGCCCCCCAATATCAAAATTTGTGCGTGACTCGAGCTCAACGTAGAGAGGAAGGAGGGGCGAGAAGATGGGGCCGAGGTCCTTGTTTTTTAAGATTCTGTAGGCATTCGCGAACCAGGTCGGCCAAGCGGGGTTCGGTAGGCTTTCAGGTGCATGTTTAGCATGTGGGAGCTGAGTAGACGTTGAAGGAGTAGGAATTGGGGAGGGAGGTTTGACTCGGAGTCCAGAGGGCTCGGTGATGTCGTTAGGTTGAGGGGAAAGAAGCGAAGACTCTTGGGTCGAAGGTTGATTGGAGTTGTCAAGCACTGCGTTGACAACCGCTGCACCGCCGGCTTGATGTTCATGGAAGAGTTCCAGCTGCACTGTTGAGTGAGGAGGCTCGTCCCCCCCTTTGTCAGGTAGGGGCGAGTTTTTCGATTCTAGTGAGGGGTCGACAACTTCGCCAGCTGAGGGTGGGACGACTTCGCCAGCTGAGGGTGGGACGACGGCAAACTCCAAAGGTCGAGGCCCTTGTATCAAAGATTGATCGCAGCCGATGAGCGCGGAGCTGTCAGTAACGACATCCTTTGCTAACTGCCTTGCAGTCGTACGTGTCGTCAGCCGCAGAGGAACATCCTTGTCATCGCTGTCGTCGTCGCTGGTGTCTATATCCGACGGCATCTCGTCCTCGTCCTCGTCCTCCTCCTTGTTAGACTCCTCGGCATCCGACTCCTCGGAATTAGTGTGGCGCTTCCCCTTCTTCTGCTGTTGCTTCTTTTGCTTCTTTGACGTCCGACTGCTGACTCGTCCACGTGTCCGCTTCCTCTTGCCGTTGCTCTTTGTCGACGCCGTGGATGCAGAGGGCTTCACTGAGGGAGCTGACTTGCGTGCAGGCGCGTCCTTTGTTGAAGCAGTGGAGGCAGAAGTGTCTGGAGCCGAAGGTGGATCGACGATCATAGAGTTGTCATCAACCATCATAGACGACGACATGTCGTCATCCAACAAGGGAACCTTGGCGCCCTCGATCCAAGCATGCGCTCGCCGTTCATCAGGAGCTAGCAGTTAAGGGATTAGTCGATGCCGTAGTACCACAAGGGATGTACTTACAATAACAAGTTTCCAAAAAGTCGAGGAATGCTTTCCTGGGCCCGTTCTTGAACTTCTCCTTGTCAGATAATGCCCAGCATCTAGGAACGGCCTCCTTATTAAGGCCATAATGGACACTAATCATGCATGAGTTGAGTAGACGACAGGCCATGCAAAATTTGACATTACCTGAGCACGTTGAGTTGCCCCATCTGCTTGGGTTCAGGCCCACCAATCAAGACCGACACATGCATATTGATGGCCTTGCCTAGTCCATCTACAAGCGGTCCAAGGACGTTCGGCAGAGCATTGATACACCTGATGGACGATCAGTAAGAAGTGTTAGGCGTTTGTGATTGACGATCTACTCACATCTGAGCATCTTCAGGGCTCATCACCCCCGTCTCAAGCTCTGTCTCACGATCTTTAACTCTCTTCTTGGCCGCTTTGTGCGCGTCGCTGGCCTTCAGGTTCCAATCCGCTTGTTCCTCTTCGCTTAACTCAGCGAAACGAGCTTTTTTGAATTCGTTACAAGCTGTGGCGCGAAGGGCTTCACGTTTGCCACTCGCTTTGAATTCCGCGTTGAATTGCGACTTCAGGGCGTCGAAATTCTCCTTCCCCCACAGTTGCCACCCTGCTGCATGCTTCCCAGGGCCGTCGTTGGTGCCAAGCAACCTTTTGAGCAAGAGGCTGACCGGATCATCGCTCGCCTTCTTGGAGATCTGTAGCTTTTTGACTTTCTTGCTCCGGTAATCATACCAGTGGTATAACGTCTATTGCAGTTGGTTAGATAACGTATCAGCATGAAAAACGGACACTTACCGTCTGAAGCCGCTTTATGACATTCTTTTTGAGCTGGGCTTGTTCGTCTGTCAGAATTTCGAAACCATCGGGGCCAACAGGTATGGGAAACGGCTTGTAAAGGTGTGACTGTGTGACTGGGATTGACCAATGGAACTTGGCGAACCAAAGGTTGACGATATTGTCGAGGAGCTTGTCAGCCTTGTCGGAAGAAACGAGTAGCGCAGCCTTGTAAGACTCCAAATGAGACTGTAAGAATGTTTTGCGCTCGCTCTTCGCCCATCCTTTCATGAGTTTGGCATTGAGGATGTCCGCGTCCCTGATATTTACGATCAGCCTTCCCAAATATGCAAGTCATAAGCGATCACAACTTACGCAAACACAGGCTCAACGTCAACTTCAACTTTCTTGAGCTCATTTTTGTCGACGACCGCCATTGTGAATGGACGCCAGATCTTTGCAGATAGAATGGGTATGTGCAATTTCTTTCAACTTATGTGCTGTATTTACAGTTTTTACTGTGAGACGACAACCGTCAACATGTCGCGGAAGTAACTCGCAGAAGTGGCCTTCGCGAAAAGCATCTTTCAACAGTACGTACAAATTATTCAATACGCCGTGTGCTCAGCAATTTATACCAGATCTGGTAATCTTCAGCTCGAGGCGTATTCCCTCACTTAAAGAACCGTCTCAACTTGCAACATCCCCCCAACCTTCCTGCTTCCCCCCAGTTCCCAGTACAACTCCCCTCAGCATATTCGACATGGTTACACTTACTGACGATGGAGCGCGCGATAGCTCCCCATTGCCAGCCAGTCTTGGTATGTCGTAAAGTTCCTCTACATGTCTTGTGTTTCACCCTGACACTCTTCACAGCTATCGACGAGCTATTTGCTCGACTTGACATTGGTCCCAGATCCGCCCGCACCATTCTTCGCGCTCTCCTCAGGACTGTGTATAGTGACATCCCTACCCCTGTCCCTGTCCCTGACTTCCATGGGGATGCATGGGAAGTCCTTGGTTTCGGGGCCAGCGATCCAAACTACACCCATACGTCCGATGATGAAGACATCTTGGTGTTCGATCCCACCATCTCTCCTAACGCTTCTGCCACTACTCTTTGTCCCACTTCTCCCGCTGATCCCGGTAACGGCGTCCTTTCTATCGCCATTGATTCCGCTTCTGCCACCGCCGCACGTGTTGTTCCCCTTGCCACTGCGCCTACTGCCTCCACAACCGCCCTCACACCTGCAGATGTCCTTGCACCTGTAGGTTTACGTGTGCTTGTGGCTACACCTGCTGCGCCAGTTGTTTCTTTGACCCCTACCACCGCAAACAACGTCACATCCACTGCTGGCCCCGCATCCGCAGCTACTCCGGATGCTGCAAGCACCACTGCACCTGCTGTCGCGATCATGGCTCCCACTGGAGCTCTCACCACCTCGACTGCCGCGCTTTACGCGCCCAACTATGTCTTGCCCTACAATGCGCCCAAGAACGCCATTCTTCCACCACCATCTTTGGTCACTCCTATCTACGGCTACCATGTCCCAGGTTTAAACGAATCCGGGCCATTCTACATGGCTAGTCGTGGCCGGAACATCGGCATTTTTAGTGGTTGGTAAGTTATCGTGCACCACTTGACAACAATCTAAATACTTACTCATTACTTGCAGGGAGATCCTTTCCCCATTCGTGACGGGTGTGTCACACTCCGCGTATTCCAAAGTTTCGAGCATCCAGGAGGGACACACCAGGATGGCTGCCGCAATCAATGCTGGCTTTGCGTTGTATTTGACTTAGTAGGATTGCAATGCCCAGCTAGAGTATATTTTCTTGAGCCCCATATCGTCGCGTAAATAGCCCGTTCCGAATGTCATATCGTATCAATGTCAATCTTGTCCTGCCGTCTTTCTTTTCTGTGATAAGTATCGGACACATTTTAACAGCCTCTGAGAATTACAAGTCAGTCAAGTTAATTGAAAAGAAAAAGTTGATGTTGTAAAGGATCCCCCTTTTTATAACCAAGGACATACAAACATCTGGCCGTAACCATGAAATTCTTGTCTGTAGCCGTGAAATTCCGTCCTTTCACCTTTCAATCTTCGTGAAACAGCTTATATTTCAAAAGGAAGGATTTAGACTATGAAATTTATTAAGTGAAAGAAAAGATTCAGAGCTAGAGTAAAAGTCAGAGGAAACAGCATGTGCAAACAATGTACAAACATATGCTGTAGCCGTGAAATTCTTGTCCTTTCACCCTTCAATCTTTGTGAAATGGCTGATAATTTTGAGGGAAGGATCTAGAGTATGAAATATATCAACTGAGATAGGAAGATTCAGAGTTTTACCCGAGCTAGAGTAAAAGTCATAAGAAACCATGCCCAACTGCAGGATCACGCCTGACTTCAGATGCGCTTTTACAGGATCTGCGGACTGAAACCCATCGTGTGCAATGTCAACCCTGGCTAATTTTAAGATGTTAACATTATTCGAACCGTGTTTGTGTACGCAACCATTCCCTGAATTCGGGATGGTGTGGATATACGTGGTTTAAAAGCAATGAATAAAAAGTTGTAAGAAATTGCATACTTCCGACGTGATCTGAGGACCAAAATTCACAATGTGCGATGTCAATGTAGGCTACAGTGTGAACTTTATACTCTTAGAAATGGGTCTTTGTACACAGTCAGTTCCTCGGTTCAGAATGATACCGCTCCTACAATTTCTAAGGGAATGAACAAAAAGTCGTAAGAAAGTGTATACGTCCGCTTTTGGACAAGCTTCTTCTCCGTGAACTTTCGTTTCATCATGGCGAGACCAACGCTCTACAAAACACCTGAAGAAAAATTGGCTGCACGACGTGCTACTTCCAAAAAGTACTATGATAAGTGAGGATTTCCAATTGTCCGTGGTGTACACAATCCCCAACCCCCTTTCATTTCCTCAGGAACCGTGTCCAGATTTGTCGCCGGTCGCGTCACGCATATAAAAAGAAATTGAAAGCTATTAGAAAAAATCCCCCCCATAGGGTTGAGCCAGCCATCGACTCTGATCCTGCAACTGAGCGCAGTGTCAACTCTGATTCTGCAGCCGAGCGCAATGTCGACTCTGAAGCCAACCTCGGGTAAATCTATATTGCCGTTTCTGGCAACACTTATGCTAACTTCAAACAGACTTGAGGCACTCAATAAGATTGCAAGGGCCAAGGAGAATTTTCTGTTACTCACTCGCGGCAACAAGTACGCGTACCTTGACTCGCTCGTCAAGTACTACATCAGAAATCCCAAATTGGCCAAAACTGCTTGCGATTCAACACTCGAAATGTGGGAAGACCTGATGAAAGAAGTGCAGGACGTACTTGGGGATATATTGCAGGCGTACGGGTGTGCAGCGGAGTATAACGAGGCCAATGCCTCTGTTGGGAAAGAGTACCGAGAGGTGTATTACTTACTAGGAGAGATCGCGGAATTCCTCCTCACGGCTCCTGGTGACTTGGCTGATTGGCATGGAAGCGGTGTATTCGGGTATCAGATCATCGTTGAGGGTGAAAAAATGGCTACTTAGTTATTCGTTGACTATCTTGTATTAGTACGCCGTCTTCGTGGAAGGTTTCACATATTTTGACCAAATGTAACTGTATAGTTCCTCAGCCACCACTGATAAGCTTCGATTAAACTTGCCACGGGCCAGCCAAATCGTTGTAACCAAACCACTCACCATTTCAATCATGCCCAAAAAAAAAGTATCCCTCTGTCGCACAAACGAAATCGTGTCAGTCTCTCTGAATGACAATGAAGCCGAGAAACGAGCACGGAGACGCAAGGAGAAAGAGGTATGTGCATAGATCCGTTCTTCCTTCGACGCTGACCCTGAGACCCTGGCGTGATTGACTGATTTCTCATCGTAGATCCAGCAATTGCCCTGTCGTAACCCCAACAATCGAGCAAGCACCACGCAACAGACCCAGCTGCTCAAAGCTCTTCTTCCCAGTTTCCATGCGGCACAAAAAGAGGCCCAAATGGCCGCCTTCTTTGATAGAGGCTTTGAAGTCTGGTCTTTGCGCTTCCCTGATCCCGAGCCTCACATTCGGGTCCAAGAGGCCTTGTTGGATGATTCCGGCTATCGCTTGTACATAGCTGACCTACAAAAAAAGGTACTGCAGACTTTTCGATCGTCATCTTGATTAGTATTACTTACCTGATGCGTATAACAGTGGTTCAAGGACAAGATGCGCTGGTATGCCTTCAAGTTCCCCGATCCAAGGAAGGATGGCCCAGCGCTGTTGAAATCTGTTTGGATGGAGGAGATGAACATCGCAATCCAAGAAATGATGAGGACGCTTTCTTTATGCGTCGCTATCCATGCCTTCGAAACTTACCTAGAGTGCTAGCTTACGCACTTGTAAAGTAGTTGATGTAAGATTGTAAATTGATACTCTTTTCTTGGAACACGTGAGCGCTTGTTGAGCGTCAGTCATGGGATCTTGTCTTAGATCTCCCTCAATGGTCAAACGCAAACGGGTCAAGCCGGTGTATACAGTTGTTCTTGATTCTGGCGACGAGGCTGACACCTCCATCCCTCAAGCGCGCACTGTTCGAATTTCTGACAATGGCCTCCGAATTCTACAGACGCCTCGATCCCCGCAAAAGCGCTCTACCACCTATAAGCCAGATTTTGGAGAGTGGAATCCAAGTGCCGACTACGCCAGTATTGACTGGAGCAGTCATTCTCTGGACGACCTGCTGCAGCAACAAGCAGGGGAAGAAATAAGCGACCCCACGGAGACTGTAGCCGCAAAAGTGGCAGCTAAACGTTATCCAACATCGGTAAGTTTTGCACTTCCCTATCCCCATTCATGATCAATGAGCAAGTTTAGGATGCTCCCCTACATGAGTGGGCCAGGAAGCATAAGCAGGACCCGGGGTTTCGTGAGGAGTTTCTGTTGGAGTTTCTGAGGTTGGAGGGTCGGGGTGATCATCTCTTCAGCCACGGCTGTGCTGCCTGTGCATCGAAGGGGCGTACCGGTCAGTCTGGCATGTATCGTTGTGAGGATTGCTTGGGAAAATCATTATACTGCTTGGCCTGTTGTCTGGAGAAACACAAACACCTCCCCTTCCACATAATTCACGTATGTTGCTCTATCTCTGGTTTGACTTCAACGTGCTAATCGCTTACTAGAAATGGAACGGTACATTCTTTGAAAAAATATCTCTCAAGACGCTCGGACTACGGATACAGCTCGGCCATTTCAATGCGCCATGTGTTGCGCCTCAACCCGGACATAAAGATTTCATAGTTATTCATACAAACGGTATACACTACGTGGCAGTCGACTTCTGCGGCTGCGAACACCGGACGATCTCCAATCGTCAACAACCTCTTCGGGCTGAATTATTTCCTGCCACCGTTCACCAACCTCAAACCTGCACCACTCTTTGCGTGCTCGAACACTTCCACGCCCTCACCTTATTAGGAAAACTTTCAGCCCATGAGTTTTACAAAGCTCTTGAGTGTCTGACTGACAACACCGAACTTGGTATACCTAAGGTAACGTACTTTCATATCAGATTTCCATGACGACTGACGACTTCCTTCTTGTAGACCTGTTATAAATCATTCATGCGAATGGTTCGCATGTACCGGCACCTTAAGCTCATGAAGCGTAACGGCCGTGGAAACTTACAAGGGGGGCTGCAAAGTACGCAGCCTGGTGACCTTGCCCCTGGTTGCGCCGCATGTCCCCGCCCTGGTGTGAATCTACCGGACGACTGGCAAACCATCGCGGCAGAGTGGAAGTAAGTGTGCGCTATTTGCCTTCACGTCCTTGAACTAATTCACCTCTAGGTTCCTATATATGTTGATTATAGCGATGGATGCCAATTTCCGCCTCAAGAACCTCATGCGCTCGTCAATTTAAAAAGACCCGGGTTTGCACACGGGTTTTGCGTTCTTCCCTGAAGATGCTCTGTACCGCAAACATATATTGAAATATGCTTCTCAGAAAGATGTACGACGTTTACTGCTTGTCCGCCTAAGAAAGCTGACCCTCCCTTTTCAGATAAGCAATTGCAGTGGTTTCAAAACCTTGGCCCATGCCGAAACGAAATTCTCAATGGGAGATTTGCAGAAAGGCGAACAGTACGTCATTCTCTCGTCTATCAATCATAGAAAACTCACTCGTTATTGCAGTTACTGCAACATGGACTACATACTTCTTTCGGCTCTGGCCCCACTTCTGGTGGCCTCGGTCTTCGTCTCATACGATATCGCATGTCAATGAGGTCTTTACCCTCCCCCACGTAATCCATATGGACTCCAGTGGACTCCAGTGGACTCCAGTGGATTCCAGTGGATTCCAGTGGCCCTCTTACCAGGCCAGATTGGCTGGCAGAATGCCCAGTCCACTGGAGTCCAGTCCAGTCCAGTCCAGTGGACTCCCACTGGACTGCCAGCCACTTTCCTGAGTCCAGTCCCAGTCCAGTGGACTATGAGTCCAGTCAGAGTCCAGTGGAGTCCAGTGGATTCCAGTCATTCCAGTATATTATTACTATTATATATGAATATAACTAAAAAAGCGAAAATAGACTATACAATATACAAGCCATACTTACAATTTTATTGATCAATGAATGGAAGGGTTATAATTTACATATAGTGTGGGTCAGTGATAGCTGCAATAAGGATTCATGATTTTGTTCAGTCTGCGGGGTGAGGTCACGTGACTTATTTGAGGGCGTGCCATATCGTCACATCTTCTATTTGCAGCATGGTCACACTTCCGTGACCATCCCATTCCCTTCCACCACCACCACCACCCTTCACCACTCCCCTCCAACGCCGCCAACGCCAACGCCGCCCACGCCAACGACGCCCGCGCCCACGCCAACGACGCTCATGCCCACGCCAACGACGCCCACGCCAACACTGCGGGCCTTGGCTTATATATATACTGGGTATAATGTGGAAAAATGCGGTAGATATTGATAATAATGCTCCCTTTTAACTGCCGGAATTAGTTGAAAGATATTTAAAATGTTGTATTTCATTTTATCAATTTTTTTCCGTCGGAATTATTAAGAATTTTCTGGGGCGGATAAACGTCGAAGATATTGGAGAAGAATTTTCTACTAAAGGCAAGTCCATATTTGCACAGCAAATATGTGGAAGATATGTTAATAACCACGAGGTGAAGAACTTCCCAAAATAGCAGTATTCTCAGATCTAACACTTCCTTGATAAGGCTATTTGCGAACATCTGGATCTTTATCGTCCATACCACCAATGTTCATTCCTCGCTATATTGAATTGTTCTCAGCTCAGGTCGCGGCTCTCCAGAAGCTCGGTAGCTACGACATTCCACACGACTATGATCTTACTACAGAGGACCCAGAGCGGCTTCTTAAAGGTGACTACCTCACTTTGAATCCGACTCAAAAACTGACAATTTGGTAGCTGCCGTGGAGGCTGTTGCCGACTCCAGCAGTGCAATTACGGATGAACAGGTTTTCGACATCTATAGGTGTCTACTCAAACATGCAGACGCCGTACATATCTGGGTCCGTTATGAGCAAGCTTCTCGACTACATTTCCTCTGGTCCCTTCAAGTTGGTGGAATGAGAGGCCACTATTCGCGATGTAGAGTTGGGAAATCAGCAGTTGTACATGGCACATAAAACGGCGTTGGAGTTGTACGCGTTTTTGCTGCAATGGTTCGTTACGGCGGCTGAGAAGGTCAAGGCCACTGAGGATGGTGATGCGCCACCACCAGCAGCTGCTACCAAGGGCAGGAGAGGGAGGGGAGGGAAGGCTGTGGCGGGGAGATGGGCAGCGTGAAAGGCAGAGGCACAGGACGAGAACCAACCAGGTTTATTCAAATTCAAAACGCGCACCCCCACCACCTCCCCGCATGATGGCCTTGTTGACATGAGCCTGAGGTCGACGAGGAGGAGAATACTGGGCGGCGTACCTTTTGTCCGCTCGAAAACCAGCCACCCTTGTCGACATGATGGAGCGCCACCTATGCGCCCATCCGCTCATTCCGGGGTACTCCACACCCAGTGCTGCCGGCATCAAAGCTTGGGCTGTGAAACAAATGTATGAGTTTTGTTTTGAGCACGATCTTCGAGAGGTGTGGGCGTACCTTTGGGAAAACTGGTACCGTCGTGGCCGATGGGAGCTCTGGGTGCGCCTGACGGACCTGGAGATACCAAGACTCAAGACTACTATGATGGGAGAAGCTCAGTCAGTGATAAGTATTCTGAAGAGATAATCGGACGTACCTGACGCATTGACTCCAGCTGGCGTCGTATCAAGAAGACTGTCTTCACCATTTCCATAACCCGCGCCAAACCATGAGAGAAGAGCTGGGGAGAGTAGAGAATGATCAGCCAAGCGAGGAAAAGGAAATTAAAAAGCGTGCGCACTAGACGAGCTGCTGGGTTACCCCCAATCCACACAACGTGCCCCCTCCCTTTGCATGCTCTGTCAACGACACATGTCTGAAAGTGCACGATTATAGTAAGCTTTCATGGCAGCCTTCAAGCCATTGTCAATGACTTACCTATGTCCTAGAACGACCACGTCTGTCCAACCTCTGTCTGCCGTCATACTACGCTTCGCAAGCCAGGCCGAGATTAAGAATTTGGTGCACGAGTGGAATGGGCGCTGAGCGGGCAACAAAGGTGGTTGCTTGGCTATCGACGTGGTGGTCAGAGTCAAGGTCAGTTACCATCATTACACATTTACACTTTGATGGATCGTGCTCACCAAGTGGTCACCGTTTCCCATGGCCATAACGTCCATCAACAACTTCAGCCACGATTTAAGCCTTCAAGTTTCAGCACCGTGGGTCAGTTGGCGTCTGTCGGAAATCGTACACGATGACTTACGTTCTGTAGGTCCCCTATCCCATTTTGCCATTGTAAACATCGTCGACGCTATAACAAACTGGGAAGTCAGTAGTTTAAACACGGAACAATGCTAACATACCTTCTAAAGTTTCATTGATGGCCGAGGGCAATCGTTACGTGGTATGAGATGTGACGAAGCAGCTGGGTACAGGCATCCAGGCGAGTAAGTATCGTGTACTCGACGAGAAGCCAACGGCACTGACGTACTTTTTCGTTTTCTCCAGAACCAAACCGTATATATACGAGGACCACTGTCTCTTCATACGGATGGCAGCTGGTTCTTGCCCTCGATATTTATAGGCTCAGAACATTCGCTACTACATACCAACGCACATACACGGAATGGTTGTTGGATCTCGGCCGCCAAGCGTTAGACCCTAGTGCACGAATTACGCCCTCCTAGCCTTACGCGTCATCCTGTGGAATGGCTTTCCACGTACGGTAACCGCAGAAACGATGGCGACTCCCTCTCAAATCCATGCTCGACGTGGTCGAAATCAGGAGGATCGAGACTCTATCCACGGATTAGGAAGGCAATCAGGTGCAGAGTCATAACGGACCCTTCCTTGCTCATTGATAAATCGAAGGTAAGTTTTGAGATCAGGGTGGAAGGGTGATCCATCGCAAAGAATGACGTGATCCGCAAGCAAGCCCCGTCAACATAAAGGTCCACATCATCCAACCAGTCTAAGGAGGCGTTCGGTCAAGGGCTATGGTGGCCGCTGCTTTCGGACGCGTGGTTGTGTACTGGAAGTAAGTGTCCTCTGGAGAAGCACCGAGCTGATATCCCAGGGGTGAAACTGAGGATGAAGGAGCTAACGTTGGCTAAAAACTCACTCCTGCGGAATGAACGATGCTCTTGGATTTTCCAGACATCCCAGAGCTGTATAAGATAAAGAGAGGCCGACTAAAAGGAAGTTGCTCAAATTCAAGTTTGCGATTATCTGCAGATTCTGTAATGCTGCAGGTGACGTTCGTCATCTACTTGCGCGTCTAAAACTTAAAGACACGGGCGTACCTCGTGGCATTCTCAAGATTTATTTCATACCCCATCATACGACTCGATAGCCAAATGGCTTGCTGTAGACCTTTGTAAAAGAGGTTCTTTATCACCTCTGTGACTTTAGGAAGGAGAGCCACAGGTTTTCCCCCGTATAACACCTCTATTTCAGCGAAAACGAACTTGAGTGTGATTTGGCGATACCTCTCAAGGATGCCCTGAAAAGCTTATTGTGGTGCTGGTTAAAAGATCAGATTACTTACAGAAGTTCCCATGTCCGTCGCAGTACTTGAAAATATACCTCCTATGCTTGCTGTCACCAAAGCAATGATGACGCAGTGTAGAGAGTTGCTTATGATTGCTGAAAATCATCCACGTTTTACAAAGAACGTTGACCAAGGTAAAAGGCTGCCAACCTGCGACCCGATCACCCACTTTCAATCCGTGTACCTTCAACGCCGCGGCCATGACCCGTACCATTTCGCGTAACCCCCAGAAGGTGCAGTTGGTGATGACTCCTGATTCTCCAGTTATTGCTATTGCGTCGTCTGTCCTATTGAGCAAGTTTTCCGCGTAGTTAAGTCTCGCTCCAGGAAAACATAGAGGTACTTCATGTAGGACGCCTTTCTCCAATATTTTTGTCTGTGATCTGATTCTGAGCAGATGAAAAAAAAGATGCAATAAATGGGATACCTCTTGCGGTGGTACAGAGGATATTATCCCGAGAAACTCCCACAGCTCCAGCCAAAGGTTGTCAGACTCAACGGAGTATCTGTGGAGGTCATGATAGTTCGCTAAGCAAGATAAGCATAAGACGGAAGTAGAAGTTGGGACGGCGAAACCCTAGCCTAATTTCAGGCCATATTTGCAATTTATCTGGTGGCGAAGTGCATCTGCGCAAGAGTCAACGGGACGTCAGGGCTTCCAAAGGGGCTTTGAGTCTGCAAAGTACTGGTGCATGCTTTGGGTACGTCAACATCATTTTCGTGATGGACAATGTTCACTTACTTTTGTTTATACCCCTTTTCTGCCGGCCGGTTGTGACGGCACCGTTAAGCTTTTGTTAACACGAGTCCCGCACCCCCCTTCTTACTTACCACGCCGCCCGTGCCCCTCAGGTTTCGTCGACTTGTTCGGCTCGTTCATATGCGACGTGCAACGTCTCGGCTAGATATCGTGACTGAATAGCTTGGATGAGGAGGATGGGCGTTGCGAGGGTGAAGTTGCAGATATAAGGTTTCTGGAGACAACGAAAAGGTACGTGGGTGACGTTCACTTCTCCTTGAGCACAGAATATGTACTCAGCTGGACGCCTGTACCCAAGCTCGTTCATCGCGTCTCCCAAGCTCGTTCATCACGTCTCCCAAGCTCGTTCATCGTGTCTCCCGCGTAACGATGGCCCTCAACAGTCGATGAGACTTAGTAGAAGGTTGGTCAGCGTCGTTTCGTGTTCGAACCACTCACTTACAGTTTATTATAGCATCGACCTCGTTTAGATGACCTACAAAATGTAAATCATCGCACACGAATCCCCGTAGAGGCCAACTGACCTGAAGGTTGTGGCTGAAGTTTGTTGACGGACGTTGGTGGCCATGGGAAACGATGAGCACGATCCGGGTTTGACCGTGGAGCTTGAGTAACTTGTAATGATGGTCTGACCACCACCACCACCACCACCTCGATAGCCGCCGACGTCGTCACCCATTCGACTGGGGCCGCTGTGCACGAAGCCGTCAGCACTTCTGATACGCAGTACAACGATGGTCATGATGTATGCTTCAGAGATGTAGGCTGGTAAGTCGTTGAGAATAGATTGGGAGGTTTTGCGAACGCTTACCTTGGTTGTGCACCATCAGTCGGACGTCGACAACACAAAACGTTTCAAACGACTCGGTCATTGAGGGGACACGGGTGGATAGTCGAGAGGCGGTGTAAAGAGGGAGAAGAAAGGTGTGGGAATGCATGGTATGGGTATTCTCTCAACCCTTTTGACCTGAACATCACATAGATTTTTCCGTAGGTCATCCTCATCAAGTTCTGAGTGCCCGTGAATCCGACGACTCAATCCTGTTTGGAACAAAGTGTCCCTATGCCCGTGAGTAACGACGCGTCTCTTGATTGAATGTTGACAGTTTACCTGCTTTGTAGCTAGTCGACTACAACTACAACGAAATAAGACAGCGGACGTAACGTCGAGATGAATATCATCGACGTACGCCATTTTCGATGTCCTGGATAGGGTTGTATGGGGGGGATATGTGCCGTGAACGTGAAAAGGGTGTCTGATGGACATAGAGATGGACGTTAGAGAGACGGTGTACTCGTCCTCGTTGAAACCCCATACAATGCCAACTCCAAAATCGACTTTCTCGATTCTGCCCGGCGTCGTCGAGAAGAAACTGAGGGCTGCCTTTTGCGAGGAAGGCAATGTCGATGAGAACGGAGTGCCAGCGTTCGTTGGGGCCGTGTTGATCCCCATCTCCCAACTACGTTTGTCACACCAGCAAAGTGGGGAGCCCGAACCAGGCCTAGGAGACCAACGCCCCTTCAACGTAAGCGACGACGCGCCCCACCATCGAACATGACGCGAAATTCAGAGGCCCATCACATTGATCGTCGTTGGAGGAGTTGGAGGAGTTTAGGGAAAAGAAGGTCAATCCGGGGGATTCGAAAGTGAGCGTGACGAGTGGGAGGAAACGTCTCCTTGAGCCGATTCGGAATGCGTTTGGGGCAGCGTAACAGAGCCGACGTCGATACACATCCAATGTACAACGGATGTCTTCAGTTCACGTCTATATCTACAATTATGATTAACGTTTGTCTCCAATGTAAAGTACAAGAAAACATAGTTGATTCTGTTCACCACAAATATTTAATAGCCTTATCAAGCAAGTGTTAGATCCGAGAATACTGCCATATTTAGCAGTTCTTCACCTCGTGGTTATTTACATATCTTCCACATATCTGCTGTGCAAATATGGACTTGCCTTTAGTAGAAATTTCTTCTCCAATATCATCGACGTTTATCCACCCCAGAAAATTCTTAATAATTCCGACGGAAAAAAATCGATAAAATGAAATACAACATTTTCAATATCTTCCAACTAATTCCGGCAGTTAAAAGGTAGCATTATTATTAATATATACCCCGTTTTTCCACATTATACCCAGTGGATATATAAGCCAAGGCCCGCAGTGCAACGTGGAAGGACAGGCCAAGAACGAGGGACGGCGCCCATGACGTTGCCACGTCATGGGCCAACGGTATGTATGCCCCACCACCCCAATCCCCCGTTCTCACCACGACAGGCACCAGCGGCACGCGACAACGATGACGACACACGAGGACGACGACGACACGCGAGGACGACGACGACGACTACACGCGGGGACGACGACACACGACGACGACACGCGACGACGACGACACACGTTGACGACTACACGCGGGGACGACGACACACGACGACGACGACGACACGCGACGACGACTACACGTGGGGTCGACGACACACGACACGACGACACGCGACGACAACGACGACACGCGACAACAACGACAACAACGAACGAGCGCCCACGAAAACCCCACCCCCACCACACCCGAAAAACGACATGCCCACGAAAAATGACGAACGCCCACCACCGCCGACGCCAGCGCGGAACGGCGACGAGGGCCAGCAGCACCACCCTTCCCCTCCACTCTCTCCCCCTATCACTACCTCCTCTCTTCACCACTCCCACTCCCCTCCACTCTCTCCCCCCTTCACTCCCTCCCCCCCTTTCCCCCTCCCCCTTTCCTTGCTCCTCTCTCCCCCCTCCCTTTCCTTGCTCCCTCCCCCCTCTATTCCTCTCTTCCCCCTCCCTTTCCCTCCCCCCCTCTCTTTCCCTTTCCCTTCCCCCTCCCTCCCCCCTCTCTGTAACATAGAATTTAGTATAATTAATTAATTTAATTAATAAATATACTTCAATTTTATTTTTTGTTTTGAAGTCTAAGTTCAGGAATTCTGGATTAACTTAGGTCTGTGGCAGTCCAGTCCAGTCCAGTTTTGTGTTAGGAGAGTCCAGTGGAGTCCAGTTTTGTAATTTGCAGTCCAGTCCAGTCCAGTCCAGTCCAGTCCAGATTTGTGCTTGCAGTCCAGTGGAGTCCAGTGGAGTCCAGTTTTGTGCTGGGAGTCCAGTTTTGTGGATATTGCCAGTATGTAGTGAAGTCCAGTGGAATCCAGTGGAATCCAGTGGAGTCCATGTGGATTATGTGGGGGATGGTAAAGTACTGACCAGTGTGACAAATGCTGGCCACCAGCTCAAAATCGAACTAATAGGGGTCTGGTTCCAGGCTAGCTGGAATAGACGTGTTGGGTCCAGTCCATTCCCAGCTGACCATCCTGGCTATCATCCTTGTGGGTGGTTATGTAGAGGGGGTATGTATTATAGTATGGCCACAATGTATTCAACCACCTGAAAATCCCATTTAAATCCCCACCTCAATCCAACCATATAGTTTAGAAAGATTTATGATATTTTTTACTCAGTAACAATGAGGGGGATAATTCATATATGATTGATCAATACTACTTACTACTACTACTGGAGAGGCTAGTTATATGCTATTGCTTACCCCCCCAATGGCTCCCTTCCCTGCTATCATGATACTCTCTCCCATGTGCCCCCTTCGTTGACTGGTGGTGGAGGTGACATGATGGCAAGCAGTTAGCGACATGTTGGCAACATGAGGGGCGAAGTAGTCTAGAGAGGGAATGTACACATTAGCAGGTAGACCATAGATATCATAGGTTGACGTTGGTGACTTACTGCAACAGGGTTTGGACAAACGAAACAGTGAGGGCAGCACCCCCCGATAGGTGGTGCCGGTGAGCACTTACTTACCAAGCAAGGAAGCCTGACATGACAGGCGAGGGGACGTCAACCATGATGTCGAGGTTGGTCAACAGGGTGTCGACGTGGCAGCGAGTTCGCGTCCGTGGCTGGTTATGTGGTGTTGTTGCTGGCAATGCTCGACCCCCTCCAAACTTTGCCAGTCATATGTGTTGGGCGTTGGTGTGGAGCTGGAGATGGTGGAGAGGCATGACGTGGTCGATAATGATGGTGGCAGCGGCAAAGACGTGTGATTGTGGCGAGGTTGTAGCTTGACGAGGGAGGCAATGGGGTTGATGACAAGAATTTGCGCCCTTTTTGATGCTGCGGAGTACGCTGAGTATGAACATATTTCCCACACTCTTCATCAAGTGTGTTTCACTAAAGTTGTTCCGAAGGCAATCTGAAGGGGGTGAATAAATATAAATATAATGATTAAAGAGGTGCTAGATACTATGGACTTCATAAAACGTGGTACTTGAGTGAGAAATGTGGAGGTATCATAATTTGTGGGCGACGCTGTTGAACAGCTTTAGACAAGAGCTGGTGTCCACAAAGTAAACTCCTAGCTGCCAGCTGGGATCCGGCAGGCTGCCCAACAGCTGTCAATTGGATAGCCGACAGGGGGGAGGTTTGATGCCGATCAGGAATTTCGGCATTCTGCCATCACCCTGGGGCCCAAATGGCAGTGTAGGTCTGTATCGTTCTAAGCCAAGTCTTGTACTTGTCTTCGTTTCCATCAAAATCTTTAGGTGCATGGCATCGGTCACCTTTTGCGTTGGCAGCGTCAGCCATTTCTTGTCTTGGTTCTGTCGGGTTCTCAGGTTCTATTGGTGTGTCTGTCTGTCTGGGAGTTCCAGGTACTGCTGGTGACTCGGGGTACAGGTTTATCCCAAATGTGTTAAACCATTCAACTGCTTGGGTTCTTTCGTCAGTAGGTGTGATACCTAAATTGGATAAATCTATCGGTGTAAATGCCAGCCTATGCTGCTAGAATTATGTATCAATTACCCTAACTGACCATTTACCTGATGCATCAATTCCCCTAACTGCCGAGTCTGCTAGTTAGCTACCAGAGCCTAACTACTACAGAACAGCGTGCTAATGGCTTCGTCATTGCTGCCAGGGTCCACGTCGGCACTGTCAGGGTCCATACCCCCTCCACGTCAGGGTCCCTCTTGCCATCACCGTCAGGGTCCACTCCCCGCCCTCGCCGCTGTTAGGGTCCTCCCCTCCTCGTCGTTGTGCTCAGGGTCCTCTCCCTCCTCATCGTCATTGCCGTCAGGGTCCATTTCCCTCGTCGCCGTTGTTGTCAGGGTCGTCATTTCTTGCAGTTCGTCCTTGCTCCCTGGGCTCAATTGCAGTCGTTTCATTCGCCCTCGACATCGTTGTAGGTGTTCCCGTCAATCATCGTCGTCGTCATCAGGGTCGTCCCCGTCTTCCTCGTCATCGCCCTCCTCACTGTCGTCCTTGGCATCCTCGTCATCATCCCCATCAATTCCCCCCCCCCTTTCATCATCAACCACCTCCCCCTCCTCATCCTCTGCGTCCTCTAACGGCTGCCTCCATATCTCCTTGAAACTTGTGTGGAGCTGCTTATGCAAAGCAGCCTGCTCCATTGAGTAGGCCTGAAGGCCCTCCAGACAGTCCTTGTCTGATGGAGTTCTCAGCTTGCCCCTTTCCTCCCACCATCGTGCCTTCCAGTTGAGAAACTCCAATGTTCTTCTCATTTCCTCTCGAACAAGAAGGACCTCCTCCTCTGCCCTATTTGCCCTTGCCCTGCTCTTTGCCCACTCCGAGCGTAGAATGTCGTCCTCTACATCCTCCCCGCTGACAGCAAAGCCATCCATCTGCCATATCCACGAGAGGGTGCAGTGTGTGTCCCCTGTTCCATCGCGTCGGCCTCGAATTTCTGGTCGAAGGTCGATTTCCCGTGCCTGTGTGTTTGATGGGCCTGATTCCTCCACCTCCTCTGACTTATGCTCCAACGTTCCCCTCTGCCTTACAGGCACACGCATCTTCTCTGGGTCGCTGTACGCACGGATGTCGGAGTCCAGAAGTACACGCAGAGCGCTCTCCCAAGCACCTGGGCCAGAGAGCGAAAGCTTTGCCAATCTAGCAAGGCGATACTTGGTGGCTGCAGCCCGTGCCCGAGCATGTACCCGATCAATGACCGATCGAGACTGCGTACCATCTCTCTGACCCCTGACGTTTTTGTTCTTGAACAGAATCATCCGGCTCTTGACGCAGAGGACATGACGCAAACTTTCCAGTGCATCACTGCACTGGGCCATCCTCAGTTTCTCCTCTATGGCGATGAGGCGAGCGCTGCAGACAGATACGCATGACGTGGAAGAGAGGGAGGAGGGAAGCCAGAGGTCGACGTGTTCTGGGTGATTAGATGCAGGGGGTGGCTGGAAGTGCCCTGCGCGCAGCGTTTTGCTGTTGGTCCTTTCCTGCTCCAGCTGTAGCTGCTGAAGCCCGGGCATGTACACCCCTCATATCTGCTCCCAGTGCTTAATCTTTGCGCGTAACACATTACGCAGCTCCATTAATGAAGCCGCTTGGCCAGGCGTCCCGCCACTCTCTCGTGACTTTGCCAGCTCACAGAGTCTTCGCCTGAATAGGAAATCAGCTTTGCCTAAGGCACTAAAAATAAACAAACCTACTGTGAATCCTCCAGATCCAAAGCTAAGACCATGAACGAGGACATGGTGGTGGAGTGGAGGGCAGGTGCACTGCCTACAAGCAACGACTCCTCCTCTGCAGCGAACTCCTTCTGAATTTCTGCCTCAGTCAGGCCTGTTCAAGGAAGCCATGTCAGGAAGGAGGGGGGTGAGATAAACGTAAAGACGTACAAAGTCCGTGGGTGATAAACGGATTCTCTGCCTGCTTTGGGTACGTTGCCCTATCCCAATCCTTGCACAGCTTCATCCACTCAGCAGCCAATTCCTTTGGAAGGGTGTTGGTGAACCCTCAATGGCCTTCGACCTGAACGTTTCTCTGTCGGATGGCGGTCCTATATTTTTTCATCAACGTTTTACCTGTACAATGGAGTCAGCAGTGAATTTAATGATTTTGAAGAAATTCTTACCCATGCCACAATACTTTAGCCAATTCCAAAAGCCGAGATGGTCGTTGATAACGTCTTGACGTGAACCAGGGCCCTGCGTCTTCATAGCATTACCCAAGGCGTTATTTGCTGCCCATATTCGCTCACAGCCCTCTCCATCCGTGAGCCCCATCCCCCATGAGAGCTTGAAGGAATATTCTTGGTGTTTCCGCTGGCCATGGCCTGGCTCGGGGAAAGCAGGGATCTGTGGGCGCATGTCGAGGGGGGAGGCAGGCAGCAGATCCATAGGCCAGTGGTCGTCCATCCTTTTTCGAAGGTTTACAAACCATTGACATGCGATGTCATAGCTCACGACCACAGGTATGTTGGGGGAAACATCGCGTATGGCCCTACCAAATATGTAGTCCATATTGGCGTACCTGAAAACGTTTAGTCGTTGGATGATGTGGATGAATAAAGGCACATACCTCTCCCCCTTCTGCAGGTTCCCGACGCAGGTCGGAAGAACCATCTCCGAGCGGGCACACGAAACGGCCCCCACGCCCGTAAACCTCAGCCCCCTCGAAAACTTAGAGTTCGCCTTTGCCAGGGCTTGAAAGCCCACACACGTACTTATCTGGGTAGCCGTTAGGGTTATAAAAGAAAGGTGGGGCAAGGACCACCTACATCTGCATCACTTGCCCGAGACAACACATAGGAGTCATAGCCTTCGCGTGGCACCATGTACGCCATCCCAATACCCAGGCCTGGATCACTGGAGAAGGAGGACACTAGCTGATTTTTGAGACGAAAGTTGGCGTCCATGGAGTAGGTCAGAAAGTATAAGAACCTGTAAATCAATCAGAACCAGCCCCATTGTTAAACGCCGTGCATACATACCTAAGAGATTCTGGCGCCTTGTCCCATCCATCAGGAAGGTTGACTCCTGGGCGAGGACAGTGGGGGCAGCTCAAGCCCAGAGCGCCCTCCCCCACCCCCTCGACCCCTGCCGGGTCATGACCCACACCTCCCCTCTTCAACATCTTAAGGTGTCGAAATTGAAGAACCATCCGCAGAAGTGGCCGATATCTCGAAGTTGGCACGCTGAGGCCCGTGTTGCTGGTCAATTTCTCCAGCGTCCGGTAGAAGTCGTAAGTCGAACCCTTTGTGGTCAACGCGAGCAGATGGAGTAGCTGTAAAAGAGCGAAGGAGGCGCAAGTCTTAGGTGTTTTTTGACTGGCTGGATAAAGCCCACACCGAAGGAGCTGAATGTGCTTTGGCACAGCACGTAAACAGCCGCAATAGTCGAAGGCCACGTCGTGGATGCCGTTTGTATGGAGAATGCGAAGGTCTTGGTGGCAGGGCTCAGTGTTGGTGCACGTCGATCGCATGTGGTTCAGCTGGATGCGTAACCTGAGGCTCTTCAGGCTTGTCTTGATAAAGTAATGACCACTCCACTTCTACGGCCCAGTAAATTAATGGAAAGAACGGCTGAGTGAAACTGGACGAACCTCTATATGATGCAACGGGACAACGGTGGCGTCGAACACAACACGAGGTGCATATGAGGTCAGGTAAGCAGCAGTCAGAACAGCGATGGTCGGGGGTGCCAGGTGAGGCAACTCCGCGAGCAACACAATCTGGGCAAGCCCTCTCCCGTCGAAAATCCCCTCGGCCCTCCCATCGAATGAACTCATCAAGGTACTCCGTTCGATGTCTTTCCTTCCAGACGAGATGCGGGCGCTTCTGGATGGAAATTAGAAAGGCAATTTGAAGGGAAGTGGAAGGGCTGCTTACTGATAGCCTGCTCCTGGCTTTCTTCTTCTTTTTCTGGACCTCTGGCAGCCCTCCGTCCACCATCACGTCCCCCTCCATCGCTTCCTCGTACCACTCTGATCCCGGGTCCAGCCCAAACTCATTATCGTCAGCCACCCACATCATTTCCCCCATTTGAGTGGTACGCGGTGTCTCCGAGACGAGTCGATGAGAAGTATTAAATTGAGTTTCACGGGAGTTTATGATGTCCAAGTCATCGTTGAGCAGGAGTCGGTCGTGATAGACGCCTGTCCGTCGGCGCTTGGAAGGGCGACTTCCATCGGCGTTTCTGCCACGATTGAAACGAGCGGTATTGGACATTTTCTCAGTATGTACTTGGAACGTACTCTGATTATAGTGACTGTGACATTCACATGACAAATCACGTGAAATACACATACCGTGTTTTTTGTTGAACTCTCCAAATTTTGGCCACCTCCCTTCAGTCCCCATCCTCAACTTATAACGTGTTTCAACGTGTCCAGACGTTCCGTTAATCTGGTGAGCGCCTCATTTGTACCTTTTGCCCCCTTCCCCACCCACTCCTAGTGAATACTCTGAGCCCGGGGAATCCACTCAGGACTGGGTGTCCTTGTGGATGACAGTGAATACTCCGTGCCCAGGGAATACACTTGATTCTGCAATTTTTTTTTCCCTGCGCCTTTTTTCCGTTGAGCATTCGGTAGACCATTGACCTTTTTTACAGGCCTGATGTCATTCAAGACGACGGTACTACTGCCCCATGACCAATTCTGCTTCTTGAAACTCCTCATCGACAGCATCCAGCTTGAGGAGGGTTTTATGTATTTGTTCGGCTCTTCACCTCTTACCTCTCCCGAGCGCTCTCTCCCTCCCTCCTCCGCATCCTCGCCTCTTTCTACCCCACCCGCCTCACCATTGTCATCGCCGCGATTGCTCGCTTTTCCCATCATGACCGACGACGACGACGTGCCACCGCAGTCTATGCCATCGCAGTCTCTGGCACCCGTCCAACTTGGCCCACCAAACCGACCCACACATGCAAAGCGCCAGGGCCATGCCAATTGGAGGCGAAAAAGAGAAAGAGAGAGGGAGGCTGCAAAGTTAGAAAGCCAGGAACGAATTCGTCCATACAAGCCTCGCCCAGCTACGGTGAAGAAGCACGTCAAGTCCTCCAAACTGCGCCTCACGAAGTACAACAGCGACACGATTCCCATCGTGTCTTCGGGCTACGTAGCTCTTCCTGGGCCCAAATCATCATCCAAGTTTCCCCTTGAGCAGCGGTTTAAGATGCAGAAGGTCGTTTGGGACGGCACGTAGGTTTCTCCACATCGCTATTCGATGGATCGTTATTGACCCCCGCCCAATAGATTCTCCATACCCATCGTCGACGAAGGTGGTCAATACATCGGGCTCTGTGCCGGCTCTGATGCCTCCGACTGGCCAGACATGCATCAGTCTGCTGCCGCTGCTCTGGAGGAAGCTCGAGGAGGGGTGTCCTGGGGAAAAGAGGATAGGCGGCATAGGCGTGGGACCTTCTTTGCACGTAATGTTGGTATCTCGCATGGGGGTGGACAGACTAGGCCCATGGTTTTGCGTCACAATGCCCCCGACGACGCAGTTCTCTCTGGGCTCCTGAAACACCCCTTGTTCGTTCGAATGGCTGGACATGCGTCAGGTAGGCAAACAGAGCACCCTCTCACGACGTGATACTCACCTCTCCGGCCAGGAATTTTTGCCACGTGGGCACCTAGGCTCCACTCCTACTACGCTGACCACCTACAGAAGCTCCTGGACCACGACGAGACCCTCACCCATAACTTTGAAAACAGCGTCTTTGCCGCCTGTGCCTTCAACTTTGGCCCGCAAACCATATGCCATTGACATCGTGACCATGCCAACCTACCCTTTGGCTGGTGTGCCATCACGGCGCTTGGTAACTACGACTACAAAAAGGGCAGCCACTTGGTTCTCTGGGACCTTGGATTGGTCATTGAGTTCCCCCCCGGATCCACAATCTTTATTCCTTCGGCGTCGTTAGACCATTCCAACGCCTCAATTCAGAAGGAAGAGCGACGCTATTCCTTTACGCAGTATACGGCTGGGGGGACATTTCGGTGGGTCGATTACGGGTTCCAAAAGGCAGACGAATACCTCGCGTCTCTGTCTGAGGAGGAGCAGCAGGCAGCAGCTGAAGAAGGTCGCGATCGATTGGCGTTTGGACTCTCTCTTTTTTCCACCATCGATGAATTTCAATAGCCCTGTAAACACGACACAGCTGTATATACCATTTAGCATGTATATATTGCAATGCCCTTTTCCTTGAATCCATGCAGATGAACTTAATGGGTGAATGGCTTGAACGTATACAATACAACTGAGAGTACTGAGAGACTAGCTACTTAATTTTCCTTGAATCCATGCAGATGAACTTAATGGGTGAATGGCTTGCACGTATACAATAGAACTGAGAGCACTGAGAGACTAGCTACTTAATGAACTTCGGCTGCAGAATACCCAGGCAGATCACGCGAGAGCCTCAGGTCAACGCTTCAACACTCTTCTTCCTACCAAATGGATGATATATAAAATTCTATAGTCACCTCCGCTATCCTCTAGATATTTAATTGTCCTGTTCTACACCGTTCTACATGTTCCAGTGTGGATAGCATTAAGTTCTCGCGAAATCACTCAAAATCTCGCGAAATCACTCAAAATCTCGCGAAATCATTTGAGATCTCAAAAAACGATCCTTCCGAATCTGACGGGGATATCTGCGGCTGAATCTGCAACAGTCGTGGCCCTCACAGTGGACCCTTCAGACCAGATAATATATATATATTGGTTTGATGAGACGAGCCCACATAAGCGATCATGGGTAAGGCAGCTCATCCCAACCACAAAGATCACTGTGTCGTTTATTATTATCGGTGCGCCCCATTCATTTTTTGAGCACACCTTTCTCCTGAGTGGCTAAAAAACTGCAGAAACCAAGAGGCTCTACAAAGAAAGGCCCGGGAAAGAGCTCAACGGTACGTCATAACACGGCCGAAGAATGGGGCGGAAGGCACTCACATGCTGTTACAGTTTGAGGGAGTACCAGCGACAAAATGAGACACCAGAAGAAGCGGACGCCAGGAAGGCGAGACATAGAGCCGCGGCGGCCAAGTACCGAGGGACCCACCAGGCCCAAATAAATTTTCGGGCATGGCAGTGAGATCCTAAGTAAGTTAGACAAATTTTATTTGAATTGTTCTGAAAGGTTTTAGAAACGCCGAGAAGCTGCGTGTTTCGGCAAAGGAACTCGCCCCAATACTGGCTGCCATGGATGGAGCTAGCGAAAGCCTTGAATCTGGAAACTCAACCGATAGTGAATAAAAGGTTTCTGCACTTGGTATAGTCTAGCACGGCGAGCAGTTGGGGTGGTGGCAGTGTGTTGATACTTGGCTGAAACATGTTCAATTTTCGGTGGCGGAGTAGTGCAGGATCTGATTACTTGGCAGTTCAGATGAAGTACACCAAAA